AACAGCACAAACAAACCAGATATAATATGCATCCAGGAAACATGGCTCAATTCTAACCTAGATTTTGTAATCAAAGGATATACCAATATAAGGCGAGATAGAGAGGAGGGTAAGGGAGGGGGTTGTATTATTTTCATTAAAGAAGGAATTCAACACAGATTATTAACAAAAGGATCAAAGTTAGAGTTTATAATAATTGAGACATGGACAAAAAATGGAAATATCAAAATCATAAATTATTACAACCCAGGTAAAAGATTGACAATAGAAACTCTGGATAATATTATTTCACATTTAGATGGGAAAGTAATTTGGTGTGGTGATTTTAATGGGCACAGTACGTTATGGGATACTCATAATGATCACAATGGTTTAATAATTGAGGAGATTATGGATAATAAAAATCTAGTTTGTTTAAATGATGGAAGCAGCACAAGAATAAATATCACATCAGGAACAGAATCAGCAATAGATCTCACATTAGTTTCAGACTCACTGGCAGGAATCAGTTCATGGCAAGTTCTTAAAGACACTACAATAGGCAGTGATCACTATCCCATAATAACAAAACTGGATTTAGAAACACGACAATATGACACACGGGGAGCACATACATGGAATTTCACTAATGCTAATTGGGCAACATTTTTGGGAACGAGTGACAGAGAGATGGGGAAAATAGATTTAGACGTAGAAATTAATCAATTAAATATGTCCATTTGTTCATCTATTGTAGAAGCAGCAAACAAATCTATAAAGAAGAAAGGAGGGAAGAATAACAAAAAGATTGTTCCATGGTGGACAAAGGAGTGTGAAAAAGCAATTAAGATGAGAAATAAGGGGTTTAAAAAATTAAAAAAGAATCATAATACTCAGAATCTTATCGAATATAAAAAACAACAAAGTATTGTAAGAAGAACCATAAAAAATGCAAAACGAGAATATTGGAGGAGATTCTGTAGTTCAGTGGGAAGAGAAACAAAAATAGGTAAATCTAAAAAAGTTAAATCTGGTCCTCTGGACATTCAAAAAAAACCCAAAACAAACCAAAACAACAAAAAATGTAGAAACGTTTCGTCTCTCGTCCGAGAGACTTCTTCAGTCTGAGGTGCTGTTTTCAGCTCAGTCTCTTAAATAGCACCTTCTCAGAGTGGATCAACCAGTTTTGCTGCTGACAACCAAAACCAACTGATCACATGCTCAAGAAGGACCATCAGCCTAACAATGGATCATTAGCACACTGATGGCTGTGTACTATTCACAGAGGGCTGAGTGATACTAGCAATCACAGCATTGTAAGAGGGGGACAATTGAACACGTAGGCCTCCACCCCTGTTTAATGATGGACGGTTTCTTTTCACAAAGATGGCCTCCTTTACTCCTCTCTCAAACCATCGTTCCTCTCTATCCAGGATGTGCACATCTTCATCCCTGAAAGAGTGACCGCTGGCCTGGAGATGAGTGTAGACCGCAGAGTCCTGGCCTGATGATGTTGATCTTCTGTGCTGGGCCATCCTTTTGGCCAGTGGCTGTTTTGTTTCCCCGATGTAAGACTGATCACAGCCCTCCTGACACTGAACAGCATACACAACATTACTCTGTTTGTGCCGGGGGACTGGATCTTTGGGATGAACCAGTCTTTGCCGTAATGTATTTTGAGGTTTAAAAGCCACTGGGACGTTATGTTTAGAAAATAAACGTCTCAGTTTCTCTGATACTCCCTCAACATATGGAATGACCACTGGTCTGGGTCTGGGTTCCTCCTTTTCACCTGTTGGCTGACTGGAGTCCTGTTTGGGTTTCTTCTCTGCTTTTAGGAAGGCCCAGTTAGGATATCCACATTGCTCTAGAGCCTGTCTTGTGTGGGATTTCTCCTTCTGCCTGGCTCCTGAGCTAGTGGGGACACTGTCTGCTCTGTGCAGAGGACCAGATTTAACTTTTTTAGATTTTTCTACCTGGATTATTGAGCATGCATCAGGAGAAATAGGTAAAGTTTGGTCAATGATTAAAAGAATGAACGGAGTGAGACAAGAGTATGGGTACCCAGTTTTGAGTGATGGAGAAGTAACGGCAGTTGAAAATAAGGATAAAGCAGAAATGATGGCAAAAGCTTTTATTAAAATTCATAGTTCAAACAATATTAGTGAAGAAGGGAAAAGAGGAAGAGAGAGAACCATAACAGAATATAGAAAATTATTAGAAGAAGAGGAAGGAGAAAATGATTTATTAAATATACCATTTACCAAAACCGAATTAAACCGAGCACTTCAAAAATGTAAACTATCAGCACCAGGAAATGATCATATTTGTTACATAATGATTAAACACCTCAGTGAAGCATCAAAAGATATTATTTTAGAATTATTCAATAGGGTCTGGCAAGAAGGAAAAATACCACAGTCTTGGAAAGAAGCAGTAATCATCCCAATACGAAAACCAGGAAAAGATCACACCAAACAAGAGAACTACAGACCGATAGCTTTAACATCTAACATCTGCAAAATTATGGAGAAAATGATAAATGAAAGAATAGCATATTATGTAGAAAAAAAAGGTTATATGTCCAACTATCAAAGTGGTTTTAGAAAAGGAAGAAACACGATGGATCCAGTCTTGTGTCTGGAGCATGAGATCAGGAAAGCCCAGATTAATAAAGAAAGTGTGGTAGCTGTATTTTTTGACGTAGAGAAAACGTATGACATGATGTGGAGAGAGGGACTACTTATAAAAATGAAAAAAATGGGAATCACAGGACGAATGTTTAAATGGATTAAAATTTTTCTATCAGACAGACAAATACAGGTGAGAATAGGACAAGATTATTCTGACAAATACTACATAGAAAATGGGACACCACAGGGAAGCATAGTTAGCCCTCTGTTATTCTCTATAATGATCAACGACATGTTTGATGGTGTAGAAATAGGAATGGGAAGGTCTTTATTTGCAGATGATGGGGCTTTGTGGAAGAGAGGCAAAAATCTACAGTTTATTATAAAAAAGGTACAGGAAGCAATAACAACAGTTGAAAAATGGTCAAATAGATGGGGATTAAAATTTTCAGTAGAAAAGACAAAATCAATAATTTTCACAAGAAAAAAAACACCTAATAATAATGAACTCAAGTTGTACGGGAAAGTAATTGAAAGAGAAAAACAGTTTAAATTTCTGGGCATCTGGTTTGATGAGAGACTAACATGGACAGTGCACATCCAAAAAGTTACTGACAAATGTAAAAAGATTCTAAACATCATGAGGTGTTTGACAGGGAAAGACTGGGGAGCAGACAGGAAAGCACAAAGGACCATCTACACAGGATTAATCAGATCAATAATAGACTATGGGAGTATCGTTTATAGTTCAGCTTCAGAAACAAATTTAGAAAAGTTAAACAGTATTCAATATCAGGCATTAAGGATTATTACCGGGGCATTCAAAACAACTCATACAGGATCAATATTAGTAGAAATGGGAGAACCACCACTGAACATCAGAAGAGAACAATTAGCATTAAATTACTGGGCAAATCTGAAAGGACACGAACAAAACCATCCAACACAAGAAATATTAAAACCTTGCTGGGAGAAAGAAAAGAAACACACAAAAAACTTTGGATGGACTGCTCACAGACTCATGTTCATGTTTGTGCTGATGTTCAATGTTTTATGTTATGAGTGCTTAGTGTATATTTAGTTGATGTTTTTCTTAGTTCATATCTTAGATGTTATTACTGTTTTTCTTAGACATTTTATTGTTGGATGTAACTGGGACCCTGTGTACATAATTTCGCTCCACCACATGTACCACATGAGGTGCGAATAAAGAAACTCTGACTCTGACTCTGACTCTGAAATCAAAAGTCAGCAGAAAGTCAAATAGATGATCTTAACGTCAGCCCAACAGTTCCACTTCCAAACATACATCCATGGTTATTCACAGACACAACAGTTGATTTAAAAATATTAGAACAAAATAGAAATGGATTGATTTCAAATACAGGTATCGAACACATCAATAAATATTATGGATATGTAAAAATATATACAGACGCTTCAAAAAATACAGCAGGGCAAATAAGGGCAGCATTTATTGTACCAGAGTTTGGAGTTAAAGTAGGGAAGAGATTAAACAACAAATTATCAGTATACACCGGAGAAATGGTCGCAATATTACTGGCAGTTCAATGGATAGAAGATAATCAACCACTCAGATCAGTCATATGCTCAGATTCCAGTTCATCAGTAATTAGTATAAAAAACAGTTGTTCAGAAAGCAGACCTGTCTGTATTGACAGAAATACAGCAAACATTATTCAAAATTAGTATGATGGGGTTAACGGTTACATTTTTATGGATTCCAGCTCACACAGGGATAAGAGGAAATGAAATGGCAGATAAAGCTGCAAAGGAGGCCACCAAACACAACTCAGTGGAAATAGAGGTAAAATTCAGTCGGGCAGAAATAAAAAGCATCACAAAACAGAGAATGAGGGAAAAATGGCAAAAGCAATGGGAAGAAGAAAGAAAAGGTCGATGGTTCTACATAATTCAACGAAAAGTTGGAGAAATGAGAAGAGCTGAAAGAAACAGAAGGGAAGAAACCGTCATCTCAAGACTCAGATTTGGACACACAGGATTGAACAGGACATTATTCATCATAGGGAAACATAACACGGGAAAATGTGACCATTGTGGGGAAGATGAGACCATACAACACGTGCTAATGATCTGCCAAAACTACCATCATGAAAGAAGACAAATGATTCAAAGACTCAATGCAATAAACGTCAGATTTGACCCTGTAGTGCTGCTCCAAGCAAATTCAAGTTCTGCAAGTACCAACATCTTGTTGAAATACCTGAAAAGGACTCAGTTGTTTGAGAGAATATGAGCGTTTTTTATTCTTATGGATATAAGTTATTTATTTATTTATTTTTATTTTTATTATTATTATTATTATTATTTTTTTATTTTTTTATTTTTTTTGGAGCGACATTCCAGTTGAAAAACTAAAACAGTAGATGGCGGTAATGCTTCAAAAGCTTGAATGCCAACCGCCAAAGAAAAACTAAGAAGAAGAAGAAGAAGAAGAAGAAGAAGAAGAAGAAGAAAGGAAGTACCCGAAGAAGAAGAAGAAAAAAAAGGCGGAGGATAAAATGGAAGCAGCAGTATTTATTCTTTCGCTTGTGGACTGCTGTGCGCTGATTTTCCTTTCGGTTTACTTTGTATCCCTTTTGGATGAGTATTTTGTGAACGTTTCTGGTTTAATTTAGTGACGTTTTCTTTTTTTTAATTTTCCCTTTCACTCCTCAGCTAGCTCAGCTGTTAGCCGCCCACCCGCTTTAGTTCGGCAGCCAACACAAATCAAATTCATCGCTAAAGAAAAGTAAAATTTTAATCCTGGAGTTGTTGTAGATTGCTTGCAGACAGGTGAACTTTAGTTAAGCATGTTTTACTTGATTTTACTCTTCAGTGTAGCCGCCTTCTTCCTAAAGTATGATTCTGAAGGGTGAAGTTGTACTTCCTTAACTGATACTTACATTTTCTGAATCAAATACTTCAATAATCTGCTTAGATGGTTCAGTCTAATCATAGGTTACAACTTAAGTGTGGAAAGATTTGTCCACCCACCACCTATTGCTAACTCAGATCAGTAGGTGTTCACAGATAGTTAACGTGTTTAACCTAAGTCCATCAGATGAAAGCATGTCATCAGAGACACGTGTGACCCTTGACCCCCAGCTCAGATTATCACCTTGTCAGACCTGGAATGTGACTACATCAATGCTCGAGCATGCTGCTCCAAACTGAACAAAGTAAGTTCTGTGGATTTTCATCATAAACTATACTTCATGTTTAAATACATAGACTGACAACTGCATGTTTTTATTTACTGTCATAATGCTATTAAGAACTGGAAGTGGCAGAAATGAAAATGGTGGGAGTGGTGGCTCCGAGGTTAGAGAAGGTGAGCCTTTGATTAGAAGGTTGCCGGTTTGACGACTCATACCGACAACATCAAAATGTGGGTGGGGAAAGTGATGCACCCACACCTGCCTCCACTCTCATTTTCCCCATGCTGAGCCCTTGAGCAAGACCCTTAACCTTCACCCTCTCCTCCCTCGGGCACCCAAAATGGCAGCTCTGCTCCACACAGAGGGCTGTGGTAGTACCAGGAAGGGCATCTGATGTAAAAATAATTACCAAGTCTTCGTACGAGTTAGTTCGCTGTGGAGACCCCTGAAGAGGAAGCAGCTGAAAGATGTGGCAGAAATGATGATGTTGAGGTTCTCCTTAGGACTGACAAGGATGGATAAGATTAAAGGCAGTCACTGCATGCACACATACCGGTACACATTTATTTATTTGTTATGCAAATAGCCTGGGCCTGGCAACCAAACGTGCAAGCTTTTGGAAACATCGGATGAAACTGGAGTACGAAGAGGAAACCCACACAAACACAAGAACATGCAAACTCCACAGAAAGACCCTGGGTCCAACCTGGGGTTTGAACTCGGGACCTTCTTGCTGTGAGGCAACAGTGCCAACTACTAAGCCGCAGTTCATGTTCGTCACAGCTAACTGGCATTAGCCAGCTCAAAAACTAGTGATTTAGTAAAATATTCCTATTATTAGCTGAGATTTGACATAGTCACAACTGAAAGTCATTCACAGCATGTACTCTGATTGGGATACCTCATGAGATCATGAGTAATTTTATTTTCAAGGTATGATCCCATCAAGTACAATTTAAACTTTCAACACCAGATAATCTTACTTTAAAACTCTTGACATGAAGTTAGGTGGGCAACATACATTCCATCTAAGAATGCTAGGCTTTAATATCAGTATTCCTATTGTCATTGTAGCAGTGAGCTACTGTATCTCAGTATGGTACGGCAGCTGCACCCTGGCTGACAGGGAGAGGCTTCAGAGAGTAGTCAAGACAGCACAAAAGATAATTGGCTGCCCTCTCCCCTCCCTGATGGACATTTACATCACGCTGCCTCAACAGAACAGAAAGCATAATCAAGGACTGATCACACCCGGGTTTTGAGCTGTTTGACTTGTTACCTTCAGGGAAACGCTACAGCTGCATCAGATCAAGAACAAACAGATTCAAGAACAGTTTTTTCCCGAAAGCCATCACCACACTGAACTCACACATGCACTGTTTTAATAATCTAACCTCCCAAACCCCTGGACTTCTATTGTGCAATACTACTGACATTTCATACTCTGTCACATTAACTACCTCACTAATAAGCCATATTGTGCAATATAATTGTGAAATACTTGTATTTTCTACTTCCTTAGTACTATTATATCTATATTGCGTTACATTTTTTATATTTTTAGTGTGTGTTTTTCTTAAGCCTGTTTTTGCACTGAAAAAATGAGTGGCTCTTAATTTCATTGTACTTGCGTATAATGACAATAAAGGCATTCTGATTCTGAGCCTACAGGGAAGTTTATTCTGTGTTTTCTGATGTTTCTTGTGTCCAGTGGGTGATCCCAGAGATGGTTGGTCAGTGTCTGTCTACCATGATGATGTTGGTGTCCATGCACTGGTTTATATTCTTACTCAACCTGCCTGTAGCCGCCTGGAACATTTACAGGTAAAACACACCTTCTCAGGATTTTTATGCAACTCAAGGGTCACAGACAGCAGAGGAGAAATCCTTAACGCTTCTTCTACCCATCATCTCTTAAAAATTGTCCAAAAATTCAAAATTAGTTTAAATCTTGAAACAAAAGTAACTCAACTGATTAAACTGACTAATTACTACATCTAAAAAAGTTTTTATGTTTCATTGTGACATTAAAGAACTTAAGTACATTTTGACAATTTGATTGGTTATTTTATAAGTTAGGACAAGGGAGAAAAAATCTTTTGAAAAGGTGAAACAAAAAGAAATATGCAAGCTTTTTTGTGTTAGTACCGGTACGGGCCGACTTGACCCTACTTGGCCCGGTTCTGAGGCTTTTCCATTAGTACCGGTACTTAGCACCTGTTACTATTTTCAGTACCCTTGGCTCTGTGGTTCTAACCGGTACGAAGAGGTACAAAAACGTGACGTCAGAACACTGTCGGTCACTGATTGGTCGGGGGCGGAGTCGGGGGCGGAGTCACTGGATCCTTCAGAAACGTTTCAAAACAATAATCCGCCATTTGCAATTTCTCGGACTGGAGCAGCGGCTGGACTTATTTTAAAGATTTTAAAACAATACTGACAACATCTTGGTCTAATGTTGATGTGCTGGCATTTTTTGTGCTTGGTGGCCGACAACATAATTCAGAGCAAGCTGGATGGAGCTCTGCTGGTGTACCCCGATCCTCCCTCCGGAGCCTCCGAGCGCCAGACCGGGCAGGACGTCATCTCCCCAGTCCAAGTTCAGCTGGTCACCGCGGAAGATCCATCGATGTGCTGACTCGGAGGCTCGGGTTCCGGATACCAGCCTTGTGTGCTCAGAGCTCCGCTGGTCACTGCAAAGATGGAGATGGGGACTCACAGATGGCCGTTGCCAGACCCCGGCCGCGCGTAATCATGAAGGCTGAATCCCGATCCCACCCGGCAGTCAGGCGGACTGGACAGTCTGGGACGGACGGTGGAAGCGATTTTTAAATAAAATATTTTGTTTTTATACAAAAAATGTTTTAAAAAATTGCTGAAGCGATTTAAAAATTATTTTTTTACACGTAAAATGTTTTTTTAAATCGCTTCCACCGTTCGTCGCAGACACGTCTCTGCCCGCCTGTCTGCGCGGGTCGGACCTTCATGATTACGCGCGGCTGGGGTCTTGGAACGGCCTCTGTGAGTGACCAGCTGAGCTGGAGCTGGGAGGATGAGTCTCCCAGCCTCCGGAGGAGAGGATCTGTAAGACCAGCAGAGCGTTGAAGATAAAAAAAAAAAAAAAAGACTGTGCCAGCTTCATCGTGAAATCCTGTTTTCACTTTAATGACTGTTAACTCAGCTGAAAATCATAAAAAGACACAAAACTATTGGATCTCAGGAGTATTCCCCTCAAACATGTTTAAAGAAGAGACGACCTTCAGTTCAACTTTATTTTAACTCACAAATGTACAAATCACAAAACAAGAACTTTAAAGCAAAGCTAAAAATAAAATGTATATATGTGAACAAGAAAGGAAACCACACATTTAAAATGAACATTAAAAGTAGACACAATGAGTGCAAATACATCAAATGATGATGAAAACCTATAAAAATTTAAATCTTATGTCAAGAGTCAGAGTCAGGGTTTCTTTATTGTCATTCGCACCTCATGTGGTACATGTGGTGGAGCGAAATTATGTACATAGGGTCCCAGTTACATCCAACAATAAAATGTATAAGAAAAACAGTAACATCTAAGATATGAACTAAGAAAAACATCAACTAAATATACACTAAGCACTCATAACATAAAACATTGAACATCACCACAAACATGAACATGAGTCTGTGAGCAGATGTGCACGCATGGACACATCAACATTGAAACAGATCAGCAGCAACATGAAACAGATCAGCAGCAACATGATATGGTTTTTCACAGTGATTATTCTAGTTAGAGATTCATGAGTCTAACAGCCTCAGGGTAGAAGCTGTTCCTCAGTCTAGTGGTTCTACACTTAATGCTCCTTAACCTCCTTCCTGAGGGGAGTGGGGCAAAAAGTGTGTGTGCTGGGTGGGTGGGGTCCTTCATGATGCAGGTGGCCCTCTTCCTGCATCTGGAGGTGTAGATGTCTGTGATGGTGGGGAGACTGATTCCAACAGATTTCTGTGCAGCCTTCACCACTCTCTGCAAAGCTTTTCTTTCTGCAGCTGTGCAGCCTCCATGCCACACATTGATGCTGGAGCACAGGATGCTCTCCACTGCACACCTGTAGAAGGAGGTGAGGACTGAGCTTCCCAGACCAGCTCGCCTCAGCCGTCTGAGGAAGTAGAGTCTCTGATGAGCTTTCTTGATCAGGCTGGTGGTGTTGTTGCTCCAGCTGAGGTTGTCATTCATGTGTACACCCAAGTACTTGTAGCTGGAGACCACTTCCACCGCAGATCCTCTTATGTTCAGGGGGGTGTAGGTGTTTTTGTTCCTTCTGAAGTCCACAATCATCTCCTTTGTCTTCTTCACATTGATGTGAAGGTTATTCTCTCTGCACCAGCTCTCCAGGTGTTCCACCTCCTGCCTGTAGCTGGACTCATCATTGTTTGTGATGCATCCCACCACCGCTGTATCATCTGCAAACTTTACAATGTGACAGCCTGGATGGGTAGCTGCACAATCATATGTGAGCAGAGTAAACAGGAGGGGGCTCAACACACATCCCTGAGGAGAGCCAGTGCTGAGGGTTATGGTGGAGGAGGAGAGGTTGTGGATCCTCACTAACTGTGGTCTGTTTGTTAAAAAGTCTAGTACCCAGTTGCAGATGGAGGGGCTTAGTCCTAGTGTGGATAGTTTGTCCATCAGGGTTTGGGGGATCATGGTGTTGAAGGCGGATGTGAAGTCCACAAAGAGCATACGGACGTAAGAGTTTTTCTGCTCCAGGTGGTTGAGTGCAGTGTGGACCACAGAGGAGATTGCATCCTCTGTTGATCGGTTCTCACGGTATGCGTACTGATCAGGGTCCTCGTTGATGTTGATGGTTGTTTTGATGTGAGTCATGACCAGTTTTTCGAAGCATTTAGCGACTATCGGGGTGAGGGCCACTGGCCGATAGTCATTCAGACCAGTCACTGTAGAGCTTTTTGGGACTGGGATGATGGTGGCAGTCTTCAGGCAGGTGGGAACTGTCTCCAGGGTAAGTGAGGTGTTAAAGATGTCTGCCAGCACCTCACAGAGCTGATCAGCACATTCCTTCAACACTTTTCCGGGGATGTTGTCTGGGCCAGTTGCTTTGTGCGGATTAATCCTCCTGAAGGTACTCCTTACTTCTGCTGAGGTCACGCTGAGATGCTCTTCATCCGGTGGTGAGGTGAGTCTGGTGCTGGGTGGTCTGTTCGGGTCTTCAAAGCGTGCATAGAACTTGTTGAGGGCATCAGGCAGAGATGGGTCTTTGGGACATTGTTCACTCCTTCCTTTATAATCCGTTATGCACTTAATGCCCCTCCACATGCTCCGAGGGTCTTGTGAGATGAATTGACCCTCGATCCTCTTTGCATATGTGGCCTTGGCCCTCTTAATACCAGCAACCAGCTCTTTTCTTGTCCTACTCAGCTCCTCTGAGTTTCCAGACCTGAAGGCAGTGTTCCTGGCTTCCAGCAGGGTACGCACCTCTGCATTCAGCCAAGGTTTTCTGTTTGGGTAGCTTTTAACATTTCTGATAGTGGAGACTGTGTCAGTACATGTACTAATGTAACCCAGTACTGAGGATGTGTATTGGTCAAGATCAAGCGAACCTCCATTTTCAGCAGCTTCTCTGAAAACCTGCCAGTCTGTTCGATCAAAACAATCTCTCAGTATGGGGCCACTGTCCTGGATCCAACATTTAACTTTCTTTTGAACCTGTCTGGAGCGTCTCAGCGGGGGCATGTAAGCAGGAGCCAGGAAGATTGAGATGTGGTCTGACAGTCCTAGGTGGGGGCGGGGTTCGGCTTTGTATGCATCTTTTACGTTCGTGTAAACACGGTCCAGCGTGCGGTCTCCACGTGTTGGAATCGTCACATGCTGATTAAAGCTCGGGAGACAGTCCTTTAGATTCACGTGGTTAAAGTCTCCGGCTACAACGTAAAGAGCCTCGGGGTGTTTGTTCTGCAGCGAGCTGATGATATCATGTAGCTCCTGTAGTGATTCATTAGCATTAGCGTCCGGAGGAATGTAAACAACTGTGATAAAAGTCACTGTGAACTCTCGGGGTAGATAATGTGGCCGACATTTCACTGTTATTTGCTCCAAAGCCTTCGAGCATGAGCTATTTACAACAGTACAGTTCGTGGACCAACTTTTACTCACGTAAATGCACACTCCGCCCCCCCGTGATTTCCCCGTTAGCTCGCTGCAGCGGTCCGCTCGAAATAAAAGTCTGTCATCCAGCAGGAAGACTGAGTCCGGCGTTTCACTTGTAATCCACGTTTCTGTGAGGCAAAGCACTGCACACTTCTTCATCTCTTCTGAGGCGCCCGCTCTCAGACGAAGTAAATCCACCTTGTTGTCCAACGAGCGGACATTCGACAGAAAGAGAGACGGCATGGGGAGTTTACCGGCTTTAGCGTTAGCTCGTAGCCTCACCATAACCCCCGCCCGGCATCCTCTCCTCTTAAGCCGGGAGCAGCGCTTCCTCTTCTGCCCGCTGGAACGCCTCTGCTGCAGCTTCCAGGTAGATGACTTTAAGATCTGCATTCTGCCGAGCGTAGCTTTGAGTTTGTTGCTGATTTCTGCTATATTTCGTGGCAAATCCGCTCCTATTCTCATCAGTTCGGTTCGGCTATAGTTCACACGCATAAATCGCGCGGAGTCAGGCACAGAGTCAATATCAAAACTTCTAAAAACTGGGATGGTACCGGGAGCCTGTGAAGCTGCAACTGCTCTGAGCGCGGCCATCTTGGACATTCCAAGTGTTTGTGTTTGTAGAATCTGGTTCATCAGAGTTTTAATTTATATACATATATATATTTAT